CAGCGAATTGCCTGCAGTTCTAGGGGCAAAATTCAAACCACGTCAGAAACCTGGGATTAAAGGATAAAGAGAAAATGAATTAGAAAAGATAAAGGAAAAGAAACGAAGAAAAAAAGAGCGAAGTAAGAAGGAGAAGGGGAGTATGGAAATATTTGTAATAGGTAAGAAATGTTAACTCACGTCTCCTCCATATGGAGCGAATCAAGCTAGAAACCGCTTGTGAGTCCTCACCAGCTTATTGCGCATCTCTGTGTGTTTAATCGTTTGCTCTAAGCTCGAAATTCATTTTTTCCTTGCGAGAACGGGGCAGGGAAAGATAGTGAATTAGGACGACAAAAGATGAGAAGGGGACAAGAGAGCGGAACGGGACGACTTTACAGGGGTACCGCCGTTCTGTTGTTGGCGCGGGTGGCAGGGTTTTCTACCTGAATCGATTATCATTGCGTTGAGTCTACATTACACCAGTTTCCGATCAGCTGTTTTACTCGACTATTGATTTTCTCCAGACACTAAACTATTAAGAATTTTCGTAGTTTTGGCAATTTTCTTACTAAATATTATTCGGAAGGCAACTTTGGTAGGCCGAAATGTAAGTGGAGTTAATGGTGCACTGATGAAAGATATCAAAAACTCCTCCTAGTCGTGCCATTCGGTTGGCTCTTTTTTCTTCTACTCTTTCTCTATTTTTCGATTAGCCGTCTCAAGTTAAGACATTTGTTGTCGAAAAGTACTTCTTTGACTTACATTTTTTGTATGTCTAATATTTGTAGGGACATGACAGCGATATTTTGCTAAGTGTTGGAGCACGATATGCATCTCTCGGCCACTTTAGCATCATCCTTTCTCGTGGTAATTGGGACGTTAACACATACGGCTTTAAAACTTCAAATATTTTGCGACGGCTGATTTTTTTTTCAGACAAAAATATACTGGAATCACGAATTTTAATGGACACAATTTATCAGAAGCAGCAGGTAGTCAGCGAGAGTTATTCTTTTCTGGCGACCGTCTGGATTATTTGCCTTTGTTTTTGCTAATTTCCAGTTTAAAACCCAGAGCCATAAGCGGGTCTTATCGTTCGGTCCCCAGAAAATATGGAGCTTGCGCTTTACAAAATTTCTGTTCGTTTGTCAATTCGAAATCAGATTTCTTTAGTTCCCACTTCCATTGCCAATTACATTTAAAATTCCATGTAACGAACAGCGCAAGTTTTTGTCAGAAAATGATTTTTTTGGGATTGATGAGAATTGACAAAAAAGCATTGCCGATTTAAACAGCATTCAGTTTAGTTCCCAATTTTTATGCGCTTTATGCTGCAACAATTGCACAAAACTCATATTTTCCGAGTGCATTTTATATGCGCTTTTCAACTCGGGAACCCGAGAAGCTAGGAAGACAGAATTTTAGTAGAATGCTCCCCGCCTACTTAAGACGCTGCAAACTTGAAAGCAGCCTTCATGTACTGCACATGGCCCCGTGAAAGTTTCGGCGGGGAAAATTCCTCGGAAACCACGGAAGCTGGAAGGCTGAAATTTTCGGGTAATGTCTTCTGCCCGCGTGCAACCCCGCGAATTCGAATTCGACTTTCACGTAAGTTTGGTTCCCACCTACGGCTTTTGGAGGGAAAAATTATCCCGGGGTCGAGAAGA